TGCGGGCGCGGACCACGGCGACGGGGGACTTCAGCCTGCACCCACCCTACTTCAACCTGGCCGAGGGCTCCCGCATCGCGGCGTCGGCGACCTGCGGCGAGGAGGCCCCGGCGCGCGGCGCTCCGCGCCCCACCGAGGACCTCTACTGCAAGCTGGTGGGGGGCCCGGTGGCCGGTGGGGACCCCAACCAGACCATCCAGGTGAGCTCGGCAGGGTCGCCGCGTCGGGGGCGTCGGGGCGTGATCCCGAGAATTTTCCCCGGGGGCGCGGGGGCGAATCTGATCCCCGAACTCCAGCCTGACGTCCAGGGACCGCCTGGGCCGGGCAGGGTCTGGGTACGTACCGGAGCCCCCGCGTTCCACATTTTGGGGGACGGAGCGGAGCCCCAGTCCGGCCACTCAGGCTCGGCCCGGCAAGTGCGCGCCACTCCGGAAAGAGAACGCTGCGTACCCGGGTGGGGACGCCGGGCGAGTTCGGCGGCGGTGACCGGGCGGAGGGGGCCTGACGCCTGGTCCCCAGCGGCCCGAAGTCCTGGGATCGCGGAGAGGGCGGGACTTGGCCTCCGGCGCGGGCAGCCTGTGGGGAGGAGGCGGCCGGGCTTGCCTTCCCCGGGGCAGGCTGGAACCTGCTGGCGTCGGGTTGGGCGCAGGGATGGGGGCGCGCCGCCCTCTCCTCCCCCAGCGGGAAGCCCAGGTGAAAGGCGGCATTCCGCTGGGGCTCTAGGGACGTGATGGGCCTGTCCTGCAGGTGGGGGGCCGGCAGGCAGCGGGTTTTTACATGGGGGGTGGGAATCCCCGGGGCCGATCCTGGGCCCAGAAGTGGTGGGCACCGGGACTTCCTCTTTCCAAGAATCTCTCCAAGAAGAGCTTTCAACCTCTGGAGAGCCTGTGGTGGGGTGGGCTGGACAGGGGGTGACTACATGGCCAGGGGCTTGGGGCCGGGGTCCAGCAAGGCCAGCTGGGGTCCCCCAGGGGAACAAGAGTCAGCTCCAGGGCTGCCTCAGCTGTAACCCCAGACACCCTGCAACAGGCCCGTTCCCACCCTTCCCCCACCTTCAGGAGAGTGGGGCCCTAGGAGCCGCCTGTAACCTGAGCCCCTCCTCCAGGGGCCTGGGCTCCACCTCCCAGGGAGGGTTGGGGCGGGGAGAGGGGAGTAGCAGGGGTGGGGGAAGAGGGCAAGGGGCCTGGGGATGAGCCGCTCCTGAGGTGCCCGTCCTGAGACAGCCCCTGTACCCGCTGTCAGAAGACAGAACTCGTCCAGGCCCAGAGACGGTGGGGAAGTGGCTTCAGGCCCCACAGCCAGAACAGGTCTGGGCTGTGTGAGTGGTGGACACCTGGGCGCCTCCGGGCTGCCCACCTGCACTGCACCTGGTTGATGGCAGAGGGGCCACTAAAGGAAGGAGTTCACGTGGGGCGTCTCCAGACCTCCCTGCTTCCTCCTCATTGCTCAGATAGGAATTCAGGTAGAGGGGGGCTCCAGGGCGCCTCCGAACCCCAGACCACCCACCTGCTCCCCGTCTGTGCCAGCGGCTCGGGACCGTAGGCCTTGGTGAGGGCCAGCTTGGTGGATTCCTTCCCTGGGGGGTTGGTGCTTTTCCCTCCTGACCTTCGACCTCCTCATCTGTATAAGGGGCACAAGGAGAGGGCCTCGCCTGCGGCCGTGAGGCCGTCAGCCAGTGTTTGGCGCAGTGGCCGAGAGGCTAGCGGCGACGAAGCCTCAGAACTGGCCCTGCGTAGCCCCACCACCGAACTCAGCATCAGCTGTAGTAGTTAGCACCGGAGCCAGCCGGGCGTGATAGGAGGAACTGCAGCCAGACACAGCCATGTGACCTTGCGCGGATCACCAAACCTGTCGGGGCCTCTTTCTCTTCTCTGGGGCAGTCGGCAAGGGCTGGGGCTGGCGGCGCCCAAGGGCCCATCTGGAGCAGGAGGCCAGCAGGGCCTGCGCAGGAGGCGGGGCGGCTGGAGCCACACTTGCTGTTTCTTAGTGCAGTCCTGCGCCAGCGTGGGGGATGGGTCCTTCCCATGAGTTTCCGGGAGGCCGGCAGCGTAGCCCCCAGGCTCCAGGCTCGCCTGCAGGACATGAGGCGCAATGGGACTGGGGACCTCAGGAGTCAGGTGTGGGCAGAAGCCAGGTCTGGGCAAGCCAGTGTGTGGGCACCCCAGGTGGGCTGTGAGTGGAGGGCTTCCTGGCTGGCCAGGGGCCCAGCAGGAAAGTTAGGGGCTCAGCCGCCAGCGAGCTGCCTGATGACTCACGGGGGGGACGTCCTTATCGGCCCCTGAGCTGTTTCCTTGCTCTGTTCCTGGCCGGACCCTCTGTAGCAGAAGGGGTGGAGGGCACCCCACCCGCAAATGTGGGCAGAGGGGAGGGGTATGGCTCAGGTTTCTGGCCCAGCAAGTGGCCAGGTAGCCAAGGAGGGACTCAACCACCTTTTGGAAGACTTGTGCCTGACCTCCGAGGAGAGCAACCTTTGACACTTGACCCCTGCTTCTGCTCATGGGCCTGGGAGGGTCTTGTCTGAGCAGATAGCCTTCTCTGAAGGCCCTTCCCACTCCAGCCAGGAGGCCCTGCCCATGCCCACCTCTTCCAGGAAGCCTCCCAGGTTCACCTACCAGGATTCCCCAGGGGAGATGGGTGTTCCCTCTGTAGTCCTGTGTCATTCTAGCTGGCTCCTACAAAGCCCCTCTGTGTGGCAGCTCTGGGCCGGTAGGCCTGGAGACACGGCTGAGAACAGGCGCACCCCTACCAACAGAGCTCCCTGGCCCCTGGGAACTGGATAAACATCAGAGCCACTGACAGAACGTTCCGGGTCTTGACTCGGGCAGTACAATCAGTGAGACAGGTGATGTATTAGTGGGGGAGTCAGGTTCAGCATCGTGGGTGGTCCACAGGGGAAGTGACATCTGAGACTGAAGGACAAGGATGAGCTACACAGAGACGAGGGGGACCAGACAGTGGAAGACAGAGAAGGGGCTCCCACAGCACCACCACACGGGTCCTGGGAGCCCGCCGGCCTGAGCCCTGTGCTGGGTCTGGCTGTCCCAGGGCCATGCCTTTCGTATGCAGGGATCAGGGGCTGTCGTGGCCACTGGGCCTTGGGGCAGGGCATCTCCCACGCTCCTACCTCCGCGAATGAGGACTGGCCCCCAGGGAGCTGGCCGGCTGAGTCTGCCGTCTTTCCCAGACAGGCCCCTTGGGCCTCCGTCAGTGCCAAGTCTCAGAGCGCCTTTGTGTGTGAGGGCGGCAGAGCTGGCTGCCTCCGGGGGGCCGGGCGGGCCTCCACTCAGGCGGCAGGCCCTCCCCACAAGCCCCATATGCCTCCCAGCACCTGCTCCTCCTCCTTCGGGACCCTGCCAGGTGCCTCATCCTCCGTGTCCGAGCAGAGCAGGACAGACAAGCTCCAGGCCCGGAGTGTGGTCCCTATACTTTGTGCAGTGGCCCTGGGCAGTGGCAGCATCGTCCCCACTCTGTGGATGGGGATACTGAGGTCCTGACGTTGCCGTGACTTGGCCCTGTCCCAGGGCTCGGAAGCAGCCGGCCTGGGAGGCCTGAGGCTGCACTGTCAGCTGCCTGCCCGCCTCCACTTGGGCCCGTCCCACAGGCCGCTGGAACGGTTAATTCCGTCTCTCGGGAGACCCTAATCCAGGCAGCTCAGGGCGAGAGGGGGCTGGGAGCCAGCGGGTGGAGGGGGCCTGGCCCCCTGGTGATCCCTAGCCTTGAATGGAGACCTAGCCCCTGGTCCTGATCCCCTCTGTTCCCTGCAGCCCTGCCTGGACCCTTTGGAGCTTCAGGAATGAGTCTCGGCCCCGTGGTGGCAGCAGGGCTAGTGGCACTAGCTCCCGGCCCCAGTGCTCCTCACCTCACCAGCCCTGCCCTCTGGCTGAACGCCCTCTCCTCACCCCCACAGTCTCAGGGAGGCCTGCCTCAGTTTCCCGTCCCACGAGGGTGCTCTCACGAGCAGTGTCGGTGGGGCACTGCCTCCTGGGAGTGTTGGCCTGAGTTGAAGTTACCGCCGTTACTGATGCATGCTGGCCGGGCCAGGAGGGAGGTTGAGAGGGTGGTTCTGAAGGGGTGAGAGTCTCCAGGTGTCTCAGCCCTCACCTCACCCGCTGTCCCCACAGGGCCAGTACTGTGACATCTGCACAGCTGCCAACATCAACAAGGCCCACCCCGTGAGCAACGCCATCGATGGCACCGAACGTTGGTGGCAGAGCCCGCCACTGTCCCGAGGCCTGGAGTACAATGAGGTCAACGTCACCCTGGACCTGGGCCAGGTAGGGTCCCTGCTGCCCACCGCAGCTCCGCCTCCCCCTGGGGCTGGGCACAGCTGCAGGGTGGGGCAGCATGGCTGCGGCCAGTGGGCAGCTTGCTTGGTCCTCTCCCAATGCCTGGGCACAGGGAAGGAGGGGCCTGGGTGAGGGGCCCCTTGGGGTGCCAGGGCACCCTCCGGGGCACGGTGCAGGTGCCGGTGCCCCACTGGCGACCCACTGGTGTGTACTCTGAGGAATTTCTCAGCGGGAGCCAGGCGGGCAGGGAGGGGCTGTGGAATGCGGGAACCCTGGAAGTGAACATTCCTAGGATACCTGTGTAGCCTGGGCCAGGCCCTCCTAGGTCTCCCAGGCCCCTGTGCAGGTGGGAGAGTGGGGCCAGACGCTCCCCAGCAAGGAGGGAGCCCCCAAGGTGGGCCGAGGACCCCCTGACCTCAGCCCTGGGCTGGGTCAGACACAGGCTGTGTCGCCCCTATGTGACTGCTGCCTTGGTGTCCCTGCCTGTGCAATGGGCCAGCAGCCCCATGCTTCCTGGACGTGTGCTCCCGGGGGTCGAGGAAGACGCCCAACCTCCAGCATGGAGGCCGGGTCCGGGCCGACTCTGCCATCATCTGGTGGGTGGCTGGAGTGGGTCTGTCTATGCTCCAGGGTTTCCTGTGAGCTTCCTGGTGGTAAAGGTGGGCTTCTGGGCTCTCCCAGGCCGGGAAGCCACACCTCCTGCCCCCAGCCCTGAGGGTGGCCATGATGGGACAGGCTCAGGTCCCAACAAGTAGCTTGGAATTTTCAGGGGACAGTGAACTCACCATGATGCCTAGCAAGGAAGCACCCAGAGTGTCAGGGGTGGGGGTGCCTGCTGGCTTCACGTGCCCACCTGTCCCACTCTGCGTGGGCTTTACCTCACTTGGCTTGGAGGGTTTCCACCGGTCCTGGGCTCCCTGACCCTAGGACTCTGGAGGCTCATGGGAAGGCCCTCTGGGATGTCTCTCAGGCATAGCCGTGGGTTCTGTGAGGACCCGAGTGTGACTGCCCCTCCCCCACCCTGCCAGGCAGAGCGAACCTGTGCTGAGCTCTGGGTTCTTCCTGTCCTTCCTCCTCCTCGGCGGACAGGCCTGGCTGGGCTGGGACAAGGGAGAGGGCCCCAGCTCTGTGCACAAGGGCCCATCTCCATGGTAACCCTGGGGTGGCTGCAGAGCAGGTGGGCACAGCACCTGATGGGCAGTGGGTGAGGCCAAGGAGGGAAGCCTTGGGGGCTGCGATGCTGCCCTGTGGGCGCTGCTCCTGCAGGCTCTGAGGGCCCCTCTGAGCCTTGGTCTTCATATCCGGAGAATGGGCCAGTGCCCTCTGGGCCTAGAGCACACTGTGGGCTGTCTGGCCATACAGACGGTTCCTGGCCCGGGGAGCCAGCTTCAACAGTGCACATCCTGTCTGAGCCTCAGTTTCTCCAGCTGTAAAGTGATTTTGAGGGGGGAGGAATCTTTTCCAGCTCTGCCACTATCCATCCACCTACCCACCCACCCATCCACCCA